TGACTAATCAGTTTTATTGATCTTTTCAAAGAACTAGTGTTTCATTTTGTTGATTTTCCATACTGTTTCTGTTTTTAATTTCATTGATTTCTACTCTGATTTTGTTTCTTTTCTTTCACTTTGGATTTAATTTGGTCATCTTTTTCTAGTTTTCTAGGATAAAAGCTTCTAGATTATTGATTTTGGATCTTTCTTTTCTGATACATACATTCAATGCTTTAATTTCCCTCTAACCACTACTTTCACTGCATTACAGATTTTGATGTGCTATTATTTTCATTTAGTTAAAAACATTTTAAAATTTCCCTTGGGATTTCTTCTTTGTATCATGTGTTAAAAGTGTTTTAACACTTTTTTGTTTAGTCTCCATGTATCTTCCTGATAACTTATTTCTAGTTTAATTCCATTGTAGTCTAAGAGCAGACATTGTATGATTTCTGTTCTTGTAAATTTGTTAAGATGTCTTTATGACTGGGGTGGATCAGTTGGTTAGGCATCCAACTCTTGATTTCGCCTTAAGTCATGATTTAATGGTTCCTGAGATCAAACCCCACATTAGGTTCTGCACTGACACCTCAGAGCCTCCTCAGGATTCTCTCTCTGCCCCTCCCCTGCTCGAGTGCATGGGTTCTCTCACTCGGTTTCTCTCTCTCTCAGTATCTCTCTCTGTCTCCTTCCCTCCCTCTCTCCCTCCCTCCCTATCAAAATAAATAAATAAAAACATTTTTCTTTAAAAGATGTGTTTGGGACACCTGGGTGGCTCAGTCACTTAAGCGTCTGACTTCATCTCAGGTCATGATCTCAGAGTTTGTGGGTTCGAGCCCCATGTCAGGCTCTGTGCTGACACCTAGCTCAGAGACTGAGCCTCTTTCAGATTCTGTATCTCCTTCTCTTTCTGACCCTCCCCTGCTCACACTGTCTCTCTCTCACAAATAAATAAAACAGTAAAAAAATTTTTTTAAATAAAAAGATGTGTTTTATGACCTAAAATGTGATCCCTTGGTGAATGTTACAGGTGAACATGAGGAAAATGTGTACTCTGCTTTTGGATGAGATTAGTTTGTAGATGTTAATTATATCCAGTTGATATGACTGAGGGGTGTATTTGAGTTCAACTATGTCCTTACTGATTTTCTGGCTACTAAATCTGTCCATTTCTGATACAGGATTAAGTCTCCAGCTGTGATAGTGGATTCCTGTATTTCTAATTGCAGTTTCTCTTTACAAGCCCTGCCTCAGGAATAGGCTCAGAGCCTGGAGCCTGTTTTGGATTCTGTGTCTCCCTCCCTCTCTGTCCTTCCCCTGCTCACACACACTCAGTCTCTCTCAAAAATAAATAAACATTAAAAAAATTTATTAAGTTTTTATTTTACCTTTATTTACTCCTTCATTGTTCTTACTTTATATAGATTTATGTCTTTGACCTATATTATTTTCCTTCACTCTAAAGCACTTCTTTTAACTAATTTTGCAAAGCAGGTCTCTTGGCAACGAATTCTCTCAATTTTTATTTATCTGAGAAAGTCTTCATTTTCCCTTCACTTTTGAAGGAGAGTTTTGCAGGGCACAGAATTCTACTTTGATGGAGTTTTTCTCTTAACACTTCACTCCACTCTTTTCTTGCTTGCATGGTTGCTAAGGAGAAGTTAGATAGAATTCATATCATTATTCCCCTATAGATGAAGTACTTTTTTCCTCTGGCTACTTTGAGAATTTTTCCTTTGTCTTGGATTTTCTGTAGTTTGAAAACAGTATGCTTAGATGTAGTTCTTTTGTCATTTTATCCTGCTTGGTATTCTCTGAGTTTCCTGCATCTGTGGTTTGGTTTCTGACATTAATTTGGGAAAATTCTCTGCCATTTCTGTTCTGTTTTGTTTTTAATGTTTGTTTATTTTTGAAGGAGAGAGAGACAGCATGCGCGGGGGAAGGGACAAAGAGAGAAGGAGACAGAATCCGAAGCAGGTTCAGGCTCTGAGCTGTCAGTAAGGAGCCCAAAGCAGGGCTCGAACTCATAAACTCTGAGATATTGACCTGAGCTGAAATTGAATGCTTAATAGACCAAGCCACCCAGGTGCTCCTGCCATTTCTGTTTTAAATTAGTGTTGCAGTTTTTTCTTTCCTGCTTCCCCTTGACATTCCCGTTATGTTAACACCTTTTGTAGTTGTATTATAGTTGAATATTCTATTTTCCTCCCTCTTCATTCTCTTTGCTTTTTGGTTTTCATGGATTATTTTGCTGTGTCCCCTAGAGCAGAGGCTTGTCCCCCTAGAGCAGAGGCTTGTCCCTCAGCTGTGTCCAGTCTACTGATAAGCTCATCAGAGGCATTCTTTGTTTCTTTTATAGTTTTTATCTCTAGCATTTGTTTTGGTTCTTAGGGTTTCCATCTGTCTTCTTTTGTTGCCCATCTGTTCTTGCATGCTGTCTACTTTTTCCATTAGATCCCTTAGCATATTGACCAGAGTTGTTTTAAATTCCGTTTGATAATGCTCGTATTTCTGCCATGTCTGATTGTGATGTTTGCTCTGTCCTTCAAATTGTGATTTTGCCCATTGGTATGCATTATAATTTTTTCTTGATAACCAGACATTATGTTCTAGGTAAAAGGAACTGCTATAAATATACCTTTAGTAATATGGTGATGAGGTATGGGAGGAGGGGAAACAATCTATAATCCTGTGGTTATAGGTCTCAGTCTTTTAGTGAACCTATGCCTCTGGACTGTGAACCTCTCATGTATTTCTCTTTTTTTTTTTTTCTTAGCCCATATTTGGGACATAATGGGTGGAGTGGGCTAGAGTTGGATATTTCCCTTCTCCCAGATCAGCTGGGCTCTGATAATATCCTAGTAAGTTTTGCTCTGCTTTACCATTTTCCCCTGAGGAGAGGCTTTGTTAAGAACAATATACTCTAGCAGATTTCAAAATGATTCCTATTCCTCTCCCCCAGCTGGAAACACAGAGGAGTTTGTTCTAATATTTACTGTGGAAACCTGGTTGAGCTTCTGGAGGCAAATCATATATTATGGAGAGGTCCCCCTGGACTGGGTCCTCCTGGAATTTTGAACTCTCAGACTTGTCTACTGTGAGCCTCCAACAACTTGTGAATTAAATTTTTTAATGTTTCTTTTTGAAGAAGAGAGTGAGACAGAGCATGAATGGGGGAGAGGCAGGGAGAGAGGGTGACACAGAATCCAAAGCAGGCTCCAGGCACTGAGCTGTTAGCACAGAGCCCGACGTGGTGTTCTAGCTCACAAACAGTGAGATAATGATGTGAGCCAAAGTTAGACGCTTAGCCAGCTGCGCTACCAAGGTGCCCCCAGTTTGTGAATTACAGCTCAGGTTTTCCTACCCCAGCGATGGTTCCCACTCGTGAGTCTGTTCCAATAAGCTATTGCCTCCTGTATTCACATATAAGTCCCAATCTTGGGGACAGCTATTTTCCTCTCTTACGGATCCAGGAAGTTGCTGATTTTTCAGTCTGTAGAGATTTTTACTTGTTATGTTGCAGTAACAACTTTGAAGCTCCTTACATGCAAAACTGGAAAATAGTCTACTATGATTTTATCTTCAAGCCTGGCTTTCTAAGAGTTGCTCTTGGGTCGGAGCAGCTTATTGTTCAACTAGTATTTGGTAAGCAGTTGTGCTTAAGCCCCTGGTGCTTCCTCCCTGTGTTGATAGATCAATGTGGGGTCTGGGGAATGATTTCAACACCGCCCTCATCCCCTGTTCTTTTTGCCCATGAGTGGGTACAGCTTAAGCATATGTGCAGAGCCTTCCCAACTTCCAGGATTGTCTGTGATTCCAGGAGGGCTCTTTTTGACTATCTTTTCTCTGGGTCTCTCTGTTAAATTTCTGGCTGATCTACTCTCTGGCTGCTGGGCAGAACTTTTATGCCATTGAACAGGAGCTAGGGGTGGGACAGCATTCCTCTTCTCCCAGAAGAACACCCCTGTTCTGTGAGCAGGGGGCCAGGGGTAAGCCCTGGTTGTCAGCTTGTCCCTCCAGGTATTCTTAGTGTGCTATGCTTAGGAGAGAGTCACTACCCGACAAGTAGGGGATGGGGAAGAAGGGAGCCTCCTTCCTCCCAGCTGCTGTCCAGAATAGAGCTTCTTCCAGGGCAGCTTCAGATGAGGAGCTAGAGAAAGAGGGAGCCCCTGTCTTCTTAGCCATGTCTACCCAGAGGAGAGCTACCAGAGTAATGCCTCCATAGCACAGCACAGTGGTGGAGGAGAGGGGACAAGGGAGCGGAACATGTTATGATGCATATACAACAAACTCACTGTTTTTACTGAGATTTAGGAATTTTCTTGAATAAGTGTTTCTCCATTTGCTATATGCCCTTACGACAATTTCTAAAGATTTTAAATGATTGTCTTTTATCATTTTCACCAGTTAAAAAGTTGTTTTGCTGGGGAGAGGATATGCCTAGCTCCTTGCTCCTCCACCATATAGAAATCCTGCCCTCCACAGAGGAGGCACTTTTGGGGATGAGCACTGGGTGTTATATGGAAACCAACCTGACAATAAACTATTTGTAAAAAAAAAAAAAAAAAAGAAGAAGAAGAAGAAAAGAAAGAAATCCTGCCCTGGTTTGAAGTTTAAAAGAAAATATAATAACCTTTTGAGCTAAACTTTTGACTTTTTTTGTTTAGTATTAGTATAGGAAAGACTACACACACACCACACACACTACACACACATACACACAGAGCCTTAGTAATACATTCGCCTATTTAAAAGCATTCCAGTGCTCACTTCAGCAGCACATGTACTAAAATTGGAACAATAAAAGCACTCCAGGACTATGTGCAGCAAAACCTTACATTCTCATCCCTCTTTTTCCAAAGGTAACCACTGTTAACAGTTTAATGTGTGTGCCCTTAGGGATTCTTCATAACTTTCAGAGAGAGAGCCTCAGTCTATGAAAAAATTAAATAAGTGATACATGAAGCACTTCAGTGCTGCTGTGAAAATCACAGTTTCCTATGTTGTGTTTCTAGTCACTCATACCTAGAAAAATTCCTTACGGAGCAGATGATGGAAAGGAGAGAAGATGTATGGCTTCCACTTATCTCCTATAGAAATTCATTAGTCACTGGAGGTGAAGATGATAGAATGTCTGTGAACAGTGGAAGTAGCAGCAGCAAAACTTCCTCAGTAAGGAATAAGAAAGGACGACCCCCACTTCACAAAAAACGAGTAGAAGGTAAGTCTACCTGTACCCTATGAGACAAGTAGTTTGCTTACTATTGTAAAGGTAAATAAAGTGGCAAATCTGTTGAAGCAAGGTAATACTGTTAAGCATATTATTTCCTTGTATATTGTCACATACTCAAAGGTTAGAACAGACAAAGTGGAACAAAAAAGGGTCAAGGACAAAGAAGTTGGAAGAGAATAAAACACAGAGGAAGATAGGTACAGAGAAAAAGAGAAAACAGTTATGAAGGTTTATAAAATAGGTCCCCCATATCATAGTCCCTCCAATATGTTAAAATTGAAAATAAGGTAATCATAATGTTAATTATCAAAATTCATCCTAATATAGAAGAGATTCTGATAAGTTGAGGGTAGACCTGTGCAGCAAATTGAACATACCAAAACAGCTTTCGATTTCTACACCAGGATATAATTTATTTTTGTGCATTAAAATAATGAAAGCTGACTCTGATTTTATAATGTTCATGCACTGTGGGAAACAAGGAGTTGATTTGTCATGAAAATGTGATCATGGGTAATTATTCATATATCCAAAAAGACTAAACATTGATTTATTAGAGCATTACTCTTAAACTAAGAAAACTCAAAGTAAAAATGTTTATTTTCTCAAATAACCTTCCCCCATCTCCACCCTTTTCCTAATAAACGTTCTCCAAACCAAGAGAGGAGGGCAGTGATCTGAATCCTGCTCCACTGCTCTTTTACAGCCTTCTATTTACCTTTCAGCATCATACCTCTGCTGCCTAAAAACTAGTTGACTCATGAAGGCTTTGCTAAAACCTGCAGCAAAATTAGAGTTTAAATCTGTTTCTTTCATCATTGGGGAGGCTGTATTGACTATTGACTCTTTCAGAGTACTAGAATTCAAAGTTCTAGAATTCATAGTTGGCTTCTAGTTTTAAGCTGTATGACCTTTGAACATGTTACTTAATCTCTCTGAGCCTCAATCACTGATCAAATAAAGGATGATCAGAATACCTATCCTGTCAGCTATTATAAATATTAAATGAGATACCGTAAGTGAAACACTTAGTATACATGGCGTTTATAATAGCACAGAGCTTGGCACAAAAGTAACATGGAGTAAATGTTAGCTGCTGTTGTCAGTGTCCTCAGTATTTCAAAGAGAATCAAAGATATGAAAATATTTATAGTATTTCATGCTCATGGATTGGAAGAACAAGTATTGTTAAAATGTCAATACTCCCCAAAGCAGTCTACACATTTAATGCAATCCCTATCAACATAATTCCAGCATTCTTCACAGAGCCAGAACAAAACAATTCTAAAATTTGTATGGAACCACAAAAGACCCTGAATAGCCAAAGCAATTCTAAAAAAGAAAACCAGAGCTGGAGGCATCACAATCCTGGACTTCAAGGTGTATTACAAAGCCATAGTCATCAAGACAGTTAACGATACTGGCACAAAAACAGACACTCAGATCAATGGGACTGAATACAGAACCCAGAAATGGACCCACAAATGTATGGCCAACTAATCTTTGACAAAACAGGAAAGAATATCCAATGGAAAAAAGACAGTTTCTTCAGCAAGTGGTGCTGGGAAAACTGGACAGCGACATGCAGAAAAATGAACCTGGACCATTTTCTTACACCATACACAAAAATAAACTCAAATGAAAGACCTAAATGTAAGACACATATACATACAAACATACATCTTCTAGATATAGAGATATAGGTATTTTTACTCATAGCTCTTCTTAGATGTAACATTTCATATTCTCCAAAATTGATCAAATTCTTGCTGTGTACCAGGAATGTGCTTTATGTGCATTATTAGCATTTAATCATTTATTTGACTAACATTTGTAAAGCACACACAGTGCCACATAAATGTTTTATAAATGAACTCTTGAGTTCAACATTATTATCTGTATTTCACACAGAAGAAACTAAAGCTTAGACAGTCTGCATAACCACACATAATTCACTAATGCGGCAGTCAGTATTACGATCTTCAGTATTACCATGTCTGGACCAGATAACTTAATTTGGTAGTTATTAAACTGCAAAAAAGAAGACTTGCTGTGTGTGAGCTTGAAATTTACCAAGCGACTAAGGTAGGTCATGTGCCCAGAATCCCTAGGCAGCAGTTTCATTTGTTTGGAAGAAAGATGAGAAAGCTTTGTAAGAAGTGTCTTCATTGAGGAACGCTTAGAGGTTAGCAGGATCACCTCAAGAAGAGTGAGTTCTTCCTGAAGTTAATCATTCATTTATTAAGTTTTTACCAAGCACCTAAGCACCTTTCAAAATGCTGGAGATAAAGTATTGATAAAAATGCTCATTTTTTCTCTTTGCCATGTAGTATTCCATTGTATAGATAAACCACATCTTCTTGATCCATTCATCAGTTGATGGACACTTAGGCTCTTTCCATGTTTTGGCTATTGTTGAGAGTGCTGCTGTGAACATTGGGGTACACGTACCCCTATGCATCAGCAGTCCTGTATCCCTTGGGTAAAATCTGAGCGAAATACATCAGGCAGAGAAGGACAGATACCATATTTTTGCACATATGGGAGGATTAGGAGAAACTTAATGGAGGACCATGGGGGAGAAGAAGAGGAAAAATAGTTGGAGAGAGGAAGGGAGGCAAAACATGAAAGACACTTGAATGATGAGAACAAACTGAGGGCTGATGGGTGTGGGGGGGAGGGGAAGGGGGGTGATGGGGATGGGGAAGGGCACTTGTCGGGATGGGCACTGAATGTTATATGGAAACCAACTTGAAAATAAACTCTTTAAGAAAAAAAAAAGTGCTCAGGGGATGCATGGGTGGCTCAGTTGGTTAAATGTCCAGCTCTTGATCTCAGAGTCCTGAGTTCAAGCCCCATGTTGGGTTCTATGCTGGGCATGAAACCTACTTTTAAAAAAAGGCTCATAGTAGATGGCAAGACAGAAGCAGGCAATTTTAGTTCAGCAAGGGAAGTGCTCTGGTGGCCCCAAAAAGATTTTCTGGGAACATACAGGGAGTGATCAAACTCTTAATGAATCAGGAAAGATTTTCTGGGAAAGATGGTATGTAGTAGAGCTGAAAGATGGGTTTACCAGGTTAAGAACCTAGATGGTACCTTTCTTATAATAAAATTTTAAGTGCAGCAGAAGACAAAAAAGTTAGGAATTAACTAAATGTTGAAAGAATAAAAGAAGATGAAACCTCTTTTTGCTGGTTAAAGATTCAGTAGTGAGTTTCAGATCAGTGGAATGACCTTAACAAGACAATAGGTTAAGTATTTGCAGGAACTGAGAAGCCGATCTAGAACATACACCTGTATCTTGACAGTTTTTGAAACACTGAGATATGGGATGCTTGATGGCACATAAGGAACCTAACATGCACATATCTCTGAGACTTAATGGAGAAAGAAAAACAGTAGGATTCATACTGTGTACTTTGTGATTGAAATTTTTTTTTAGTTCTTCAGAAAGAAAAGCAGAGTGATACTTTTGAGTCTACCCATATTAAGAAAATAACTTAGAATGTTTACAGTAGAAACTATATAATTCTATAACTTTATATCAGACTATAGATATTCAAATAATAGTTTAATCTGTTCAGATCTTCGTAAATGATCTTCAGAATAAGGAAGAAATACTTCCTGGTCCCTTGAAGAAATTTAATTCTAATTAAAGAGATAACCTATACACTTGACAAATGACCTGACAACACAGGCCATTGTATAATTAAATCCTTAGTAAGTAGGAATGATTGTGTATCCTCTAGAAGTTAAAGGAGATTGGGAAGTGGGGGCTGAGTAGAGTGAATGAGAAGGGCTTCTCTAAAGAGGTAGAACTTAACAGCATGAAAACGGTGAGCCTCTTAACCCATCCCCATATGAATAATGTGGCAAAGTTTTTTCTCTAGTGACAAATATCCCAATTTTGCAGTGGGATTTGCTAATTTCTCAGTTAAAGGCCCACCAGACTTTAGGTACTGCTACATGGGGCCCCTCCTAGACCCAGCATATAGGCCCTTTATTGCTTGAGCAAAGCAAGGTTACAGGGGTCTCTGCCTGGCCCCATTCTTCCCCTTCTGTGGTTGAATTAATCCTTATAAATGGAGGGACTCGGAAGACAGGATAATGTTAGGATGTATGAGAAAACTGACTTTTGGAAGTTTAGTAACTTACAGAAAGTCACACAGGTGAGTGGTATAACTGGGATTCAAACTAGACAGTTTAAGCCAGAAGCCGTGCTCTTCTAGTCTGTGCCATAATTTCTACCAGAGTTCATTCTACTAATGACACGTTGTGACTCTAACTGGAATTTTACAGATGAAAGTCTGGATAATACATGGCTAAACAGGACCGACACCATGATTCAGACTCCTGGGCCCCTGCCAGCACCACAGCTCACTTCCACTGTACTGCGGGAGAATAGCAGGCCTGTGGGAGAACAGATTCAGGAACCTGAGACTGAACATGGTTCTGAACCTGACTTTTTACACAAGTAAGTAGTAAAAATTTATTTTCTTGGCATAAAACCTATAATTGTTAAAGAAAAACTATCAAAGAAAAACTTTGTTAAAGCATATTATTGGTCAGTTCATGACAAAAAACCACAAGCAGAGGCTAAATGATTTATTTCAGAAGATATATAATAAGTCTTCCCACACTTGTGGATATCAGTTACTCAGAGTCCGGAGACCTTCAAAACATGGTGTGTCACTAAGTGCTGATTTCAGTTGGAGTTTACAGATTATCATTGGGCAGGTCTGTTTTTTCTCAGGGACTTGCAAAAAAAGACATGCAGGTTACTTCCTTGGAAAGAAAGCCTAAGAATTTCTGCTGTGGTTGTCCTAGTCTGAACAAATAAATACTATTCCTTTTATCATCCATGTAATTAATAGTACTTTGTCTTGCTCAAGTTTATATTTTAAAGTTAAACTGTTAGGGATTAAGGTATTTGTCAAGATGTTCGAGAAATTCTGAGAACAGTTGCCTTTTCTCTAAGAGAACTGAAGTCCTACCTTTTTCCATGCTAGTAGTAATTAATGTTTTCTAGTACCAGGGCCCCGAAAGTTTTGGAACAGGCAAGATGATAGTATGACTTTTGCTATAAAAGAACTTTATCTTTGTTGTACTCCATCTATCTTTGAAATTCTCCTAGCTTCTTGTGTTTGTATTCATATTGGGAATAAAATGCTGTGATTCACTCTGATGGAAAAGAGAATTCTCACTTGAAGTCAAAACATTTAGCAGGTTGAAAATGGAAAGAGGAAGGGTTAGAATTTTTCAGATCCTAGGTTTGCTCAAAGGATCTGCCTTTTTTCAAAGCTGAAAGGATAATCGTTGTCAGACAGCCACTGCATAAGAGCATTCTTAGAGGGTGGATTCTTCCTTATTTGAGCAACCTTACTTCCCTGGTCTGTTCTTCCCCTCTGTGGTCTACTTTTCCCTGCTATAGGTTTATAGGTTTAATCAAGGTGGTAACCCCACATGATATAAAGACAGCTTCTCCTGTGGCAGATGTTACCTACTAAAAATCATTAAGGTAGGGGCACATGGGTGGCTCAGTTGGTTGAACATCTGGCTTCAGCTCAGGTCATGATCTCATGGTTCATGGTTTCGAGTCTCGTGTCAGACTCTGTGCTGACAGCTCGGAGTATGGAGCCTGTCTTCAGATTCTGTGTCTCCCTCTCTCTCTGACCCTCCCCTGCTCACGCTGTCTCTCTCTCTCAAAAATAAATAAAACATTTTAAAAAAAATAAAAATCATTAAGGTTTACATCCTGTAAAATTCCCAAAAGGCATGTTTATGCAAGTGTCCATGTGCCAGTAAGTATAGAGGACAGGTGAAAATTCGGCCCAGCATGCACCTGAACCCAGATTTTTTCAGAAGGACTGAGAAAATAATGTGTTAATACCTTTCCTTGTTCAACTCTGGAGAGCTCTGCCCACAAGGCCAGCATCCGTTCTGTCCCTTAGGGGACTGGCTGTCCAAGCAGGAACACTGGTTCCAGGTCAGCAGCTGGATACAAGGTCTCAGAAGCAGTTTCTTGTTTGGCTGAGATTTGGGGAACAAAGCTGGTAAATTAAACAACTGCAGGGGAGGGAAAAGTTTTACTCAACCCTCTGAGGATCCCTAACTGGGTCTGAAAATTAAATGGATCAGTAGAAAAGCATACCCATTTTATTGAATGTTTTACATGTCCAGGGGAGCTTTCAGCAGAGAATGAAGGCCTGAAGAAGTGACCAAAGCAGGGAGCTTTTATACCTTTTAGACAAAGAGTAAATTTGTGAAGAATTGACAAGACAAAGAGATTTAGGGACTATGTAGTCCATATTTTCCTCAACTAGGAAGGTAAGGTTAGTTTAGTAAGGAAGGATTCTTTGCACATTGCTCTGGTGTCATCTCTGGGTTGATAAGCATCTGTCTACCACAGAACAAGCATTCATCCTGCCTTTAGGCAGAAAACGAGGAGGTTTTCTGTATTTACCACTTCTTCACTGCCTTCAGTTCAAAATAACTGTTCTCTCAGAAGCAGTATTTGGGGTGACATACTTTGGTTTCCTTTACACCTAACAACTACCCACAGCCAGCTTCTCTTCGAGACTTAGGCATCTCTGGGCAACCAACTGTCATTTCTGCAAAGGTAGAACCTTCAGTAATGATCTGTCTCACCCATGACTTGAGTAAATCCAGCTAACTCCCCATACATGGGGATTAGGCAAGCCAATGGTGGCCTTTTTAGCATGGGACTGATGAGCGAAATTCATCTTTTGCCACAAATGACTAATGTATTCCTATTCCCTTAGTCCTCAGATGCAGATCTCTTGGTTAGGCCAGCCAAAATTAGAAGACTTAAATCGGAAAGACAGAACAGGAATGAACTACATGAAAGTGAGAACTGGAGTAAGGCATGCCGTGTAAGTGTTACATCAAGTGTTGCAAAAACATGATGACTATGTGATGCTGGTCATTTTGTGGAATGACTGGTTTCCTTTGACATTTGGTCTTAGAAAAGTAGTTAAGGTCCTAATTCAGGATATGCTAGGCCATGTAGAATAGGATTGGAGGGTATGGGCTGCCAAGGCTTTCAGCATTTAAATCCTAGTGCTGCCACTTGCCAGCTATGTGGCATTGGGTAAACTCTCAAACCTCTGTGCCTCAGAGTCTTCATTTGTAAATATGGGATAATACTACCAATCACATAGTATTGTTTAACACATATTTGTTACTGCATTTAAATTGTACTTTTGATGAGATGAAATCTTGAATAAAACAAATGATCCTTAATAGTTCAGGATCATAGTTTGTGGATTTTAACTGGAAGGTGTGCTTTCATTGATTAGAAGACCTAATATAAGAAAGAGCCAGGGCTCCAGATTTGATGAGTCTGAACAGCCTTCTGACCATGGTTTTTCCTTATCAGTCGGGGCCTAATGGAGGAAGATGCTGAGCCCATCTTTGAGGATGTGATGATGTCATCCCGGAGCCAGTTAGAAGATATGAATGAAGAATTTGAAGACACCATGGTTATTGATCTGGTAAAGAAATTCAGTACATTTTCTTCTTTTAAAATATGTAAAGGCATTGATGTAAGATGATCATCCTCTTGTTTGCAGAAGCCCATGGGGAGAGGGGAGAGGTGTGGAAGTGGTAACATAGAATAGCAGCGGGTAGGACCAATTGCATGCTTTTTAGGGCATTTGGATGAGCTGTGTTTCTCATGCCTGCTTTCCAAGCATTCAGATTGTAAATTTCTGGCAGTAATAGAAACTGGTTCCTTCCCTTCTTGAGAAGAGGTTCACACTATATCTGCCTTTCAGTATAGTGTACATCTGGTCTCTGAAACACACTTGGAGTCTGATGGTATAGAGTGTGTTCCAGCATAACAACCAAACACAGAACACGGACCATATTTGTTCAGTGTGAAAAAAACATCTTTGAAGTAAGGAAACCTGAATATGGCCTAGGTGTAGGTGATATTAAGAAATTATTGACTTTGTCATGGAGAGTAATGCATGGTGGTTATATATATTTTTTTAATTCCATCAGAGATACATATTGAAGGTAGTTATAGGTGAAATGATATAGAAAAAAAACAGGAGACTCAATGAAACAGATTGGCCAAAGATTTGGCAGTTGATGCAGCTAGGCGATGGGTACATGGGAGTTCATCATACTACTTTATGTATTTAGAGATATGCTAGGACAAATGCGACCGACTCGGTGGCTTAATAGAAATTTTCTCACAGCTCTGGAGGCTAGAAGTCTAAGATCATGGTGTCAGCAAGATTTATTTCATTCTCTGCATTCTCTCCTTGATTTGTAAAAATAGCCAGTTTCTCCCTCTATCTTAATGTGATCTTTCCTCTGTGTTGAGGATTGAGGCGCCTGGGTGGCTCAGTGAGTTAAGCAACCAACTTTTTATTTTGGCGCAGGTCATGATGTCTAAGTTTGTGAGTCTGAGCCCCGTGTTGGGCTCATGCTGACATGACAGTGCAGAGCCTGAGTAGGTTTCTCTCTCCCTTTCTGTCTGCCCCACCCGTGTTCTCTCTCAGAGTAAGTAAAATAAACTTAAAAACTATTTAAAAAATTGTTTTAATGTTGTTTATTCATTTTTGAGAGAGAGAGGGGCAGAGAGAGAGGGAGACACAGAATCCAAAGCAGGCTCCAGGCTCTGAGCAGTCAGCACAGAGCTCGATACAGGGCTCGAACCCACAAACTGCGAGATCATGACCTGAGCCGAAATTGAACACTTAATCAACAGAGCCATCCAGCCGCCTCATATATTTTTTAAAAATTAGAATCAATCCCTATGACCTCATTTTACCCTTATTACCTCTTTATAGGTCCTCTGTCCAAGTAACAGTCACGTTGAGGTACTGGGGGTTAGGACTTCAATGTATGAATTTGCGGGGACATAATTTAGTCTATAACATTTTGCTTTGTCGGTTTTGAATGTTCCATAATGAAAAACTTCTCTAAGAAATGTAAAGGCAATCATGTCCCTCCAGTCTCTCCACTCCCATCACTAACTTTCCGTCTGCCTACTTTGGGGAATTCAAGGATCGATTTTTAATCATTCCATGATTCAGAGGCATGTTCTATGTTTGTAGGACCCCTAAATTATATGCATTTACATGTTCAGCTTATTCATTTTAATTTGAAATATTTTTTTAATGTGTGCTCCATGCAAAAGCCACATTCTTTTCGTTTCAATATTGTATCTTTAATAGCTCTATTTTGTGATACCATCAGAAATATTAGCTGCTTATTATCACAGTCCATTGTCTTAATGTATCTTACGAAAACATTTTGGCTTCTCTTTCCAGCCCCCATCAAGAAATCGGCGAGAACGAGCTGAGCTGAGGCCAGATTTCTTTGATTCTGCAGCTATCATAGAAGACGATTCAGTAAATGTTAAATTAAAATTATTACCACTTTCTATTTATGGCTTCTAGGTCTTGTTTATGCATGAAATTAATTGTATTTTTCATTTTTCTAGGGATTTGGAATGCCTATGTTCTGAAGTCTGAAGAAAATTTACAAATCTGGAACTCTATTATTTAGAGCTAGAGGCCTATATACTGTGATAGCTTGTATGGGGGAGAAAACACTTTTGATGTGATCTGATTTGTTTTTTAATCAAATGATTGAGGTCAATCCCTTTTTGCAGTGACAGAAGAGGAGCATGTAAATTACCCAAGGGAATGTTGGTGAATGTCACCTCAGAAAGACTGACCTGAAAAATCATTTGTGTTCTAATATTGGACTCATCCCAGTACAGATGTGTGTGTTTTTCTGGAGGGAGGAAAAAATTTTAAATTTTTAAAACAGCTGTCAAGATAAACACTGTTATACACCTGTTTTATGAAAACTCAGCATTGAGTAAAAAAAAATATTTTTAACTTTATTTTCCTGTTGTACAATTTAAAAACCGTTTTAACATTTTGCCTTTTTATGTTTTAAAAGCTAACCATTTTTATTAAACCTATGAGTAAGCAGCTCATCCTAATTGCTGAAGAGTGTTTTGGAGCTCACTGGATTTGGTTGACCTTGTGGAATACAGAAATGCGGAGGAGCAGAATATCAACAAGCTAAGATGAAATTCTGACAGTGCATCTCTGCCAAAAACCACACCCTCTGTGGATATGGATTCCCAGATTTTATATACTCTTGAATAAAAAGGTTTATTTTTATTTATAAGGGGGCATAAAATAAGAAATGTCCACGCAGCCATTTTCCAACAGATGCTGTACACCATTCATTTTATATAGAGTAGGGAGATTCAAATACAGTACATTTTCTATTGGTATTTGTTCTGTGCATTTTTAGCAACTTCTACCAGCAAATAAAGTATTCTCAGAAAAACAAAAATGGTTCTCAAGTTATCAGTTTGCTGTTTTTACTACTTATTTCATGCCCTGCCAAATTCAAGTTACATAGACTTCCGTTTTCTTAAAAAGATAATCATGAAGAACTTCTTTGCCATTCAAAAGTAATCTTTAAGTGTAACATAACTGTGTCTACTTCCCATGCACTTAATACCTTATGCGCTAATTTTGTGAATTAAGTTTACCAATTATAGAAGTATGTGCTGCATAGAAGTCTGTGCTTTAGAGGGTGAAGTTCCTAAGCTTACCTTGAAATACAGCTACATTTCAGTGTTAAATGTGCATATTAATTATTTTGGGGAAAGAAATTATGGATCTTCAGGACAGCCTTCAATGGTTTAGAATTACATTCTGCTTAGACTTTTATGACTTGCTGCTATTGTTTTAAAAAGCCCACTTTTTTCCTTTCTGATTTTTAAAAGCAAGCCTCAATTCCAAACAAATCCATCCACAGCTGTTTCTGGGCTGGTTTTTAAAGTAGCTGCAATGGAATCATGAGGCTTTCCCTTCTTACCAAAAATGAAAAGCATTTTTTTACTAATCTGTGCACCCAATAATTATCTTTTGTTGGGAAAGCAAATGGATTATTCTATTCATTCTTTTAGTAAACACAAAACAGATTTTTCTCAGTCTTTGTACAGTTCTGAAAAAACCTGGTCACCAAAAATATATCTGCTAATTTAGTAATTCCTGGGCTCCAGTTTGAGGGGCTGGGGTCTCGATTTCTTCCAGAAATGTGGGCCTCACTGGACATGCAGGGGCAGGAATAACTCAACTCAACTGTCCACCAGCATCAACCCTGCCTGTGGTTCTGGCCAGGGAGGAAGCTGGGAGGTGCCCTGGCACATGCACAGATTGATCCTTTGCTTGACAGTTTCATGTGGAAATCAGATGCTGACTTAGAATTGTAGACTACATGCAACAAAAAAAAAAAAAAAAAAAAAAAAAAAAGGCTTAATATCTACTCAAATGGGTTTGCAGTTCAGTTTGAAGTCAATCGAATTTTTGTATTTTCAGTGTCTCCTTGATTGGTTTTGCTAGTAATTCTGTAAATTGTACATTTGCAATATGAGGTTTTTTTCCTTTTGTACAATTTGAAACTGATGCTTCACCTTTCCTTTAATAAACTATTCAAAATCAGGCTTGTCATCCTATTGTTCTTACTAGGTAAAGCCTCAAAGAGATGATTTTCTGGCCCAGTGCTCGAGAGTTTGCTCACTCTTGATAATTTGGTAACTGTATCACTGAGTTTTATTCCTTTAAGGAAGAAATTAGAACTAGTTCACTTTCTTTCATTCATTGGATTTCCCTGGAGAAAGTGGGTAGGCCAAGTTGTCTGTGATTCAAGAGGAGGTCTCTTGCAGGCTGAGTTCTGAAGGAGGCATTCAGAGTTTGTAGCCTGGATCCTTCCCCTGCCACACACCCGGCATGGAGGCTTATGCGTGGTTGCCCCTAACGAACAGTGGCCTTTTAAAGATCACTTGGGGCCATGTAAGTGAGAGTTTCTCGATACTGGTGCCAGACATCACTCTTAGAAAGTCATGCCCTGGGGCACCTGGGTGGCTCAGTCAGTTAAGCATCGGACTCTCAATTTTGGGTCAGGTCCTGATCTCCCCATTTGTGAGATTGAGCCCCTGTGTCAGGCTCTGCACTAATAGCATGGAGTCTACTTGGGATCCTCTCCCTCTCTCTGCCCCTACCCCACTTGCACTCTCTTGATCTCTCAAACTAAAAAATAATAATAAACTCATGCCCTACACTTTATGGGCCTGGCCAAGTTCTTTGGGCTGTGTGCATTACATGGCCTAAAGCGTCTGCAGAAAAGGCAGGGATGCAAGGGCTAAATCAGCAGGTGAGCTCTCCAGGTATCCAGGGAGGAAGACAATAAAGATGGGTCTCTGGCAGCTCTCATCTTTACAAGCTTATGAGACTAGACCAGGGCTTTACCCAGTGGAGCTCTATCTTGGGACAAACTTGGAAACCTCCCAGATGTGACTTGACTGTGACTCTATCTGGCCCTGCTTCCAGAAAAGAGTCCATCAAACAAGGAACAGTGTCTTCATGGAAAATAAAGGCTTAGTGCCTCTACCTTAGGCTTTTCAAGCAGACCAAACTCCAGTAAGGTTCCATCCCTGCCTTCCTAAGTGCCTTGCTCTACTGGGGTCTTTATTACACACCACTTTTGAAGGATGGCTTTCTGCTCCCAAGGACACTTAAAGGAGGTATTTTACTCACCATCCAGGAGAGTACGGACATGGTCAGAACCTCCCTAGGACTGCCACATCTACGTAAACGTTCTGGCTAGACTCCACAGAAGCCCCAGACTGAGGCTCTGCCCGTTAAGTGGCCATAGGTCCTGTTTGGAATGGCAGAAATCCCACACCCTCAGAGGGTAGTTTCTAGCCACAGCTGTCTAAATCCTTTAGAACGAGACATAAAATATGCACATCTGTCAATAACTACATCAAAAGTGTTAACTCGGGACTCCTGGGTGACTCGGTTGAACATCCGACTCCTGATTTCGGCTTAGGTAGTGATCCCAGTGTTGTGGGATCCAGGCCGCTTTGGTCTCCACACTAGGCACGGAGCCTGCTGAAAATTCTCTCCCACTATCTCCCTGCACTTGCTCGCTCTAAAATAAAGTGTTAATAGGTGGAGGAGTGTCCTTCACAGTCTTCTCTGGGTAGACCATTATCTAAAACACCCAGCAGCAGCCAAAAGCATCAGTGAACCCAGTGAACCCAGAGGCAGAGGACTCACTGAGGAGACCAAGACATGGTCAGAAGAGAAGCTAGAAGAACTTTCCACAAACACAGGTAACTGGAAGACTCTACATTGTGAGTTTACTCCCCATTATTCTAGCAAATCAAAATGAGGCCTGACAGGCCATCATGCATGAGGTAGGAAAGCTTTCTAAATTCAATAGCTCTTTGGGTTGAGACAACCCCAGTGGAGCTAACCACCACCTTTCTCACTCCACTCTCAGGGGTTCATCCCAACTACTTTACCAGTTGAAACAGTGTTCTGAATGGTTATAGAGACATATGGAGTTGAGACAAATCTGCCTGGGTTCAAATGGCAGCTTCACCACCCTCGCTGTGTGGCTCAGGATGAGTGAGCTGGTTTATTACTTAAGGCAAGAGGAGCAGGGGCAGGTGCAACAGGACACTCAGTGCCTCTTAAAGTCCATCTCCATTCTCACCGTATTACCTGCTGTCAGTCTAAAGAGACAATTGCCACTGCTCTGCTCAGTAAACCCAAGTCCTCTGGTTATAGAGTAACCAGTTGTCTTTTTCCCCTTAAAGAGAGAACACCCCCTGGGAAAGGCATCCCTAACCAGCAGTGACAGAATATTCTGCCACCATTCAAAGCATTCTGTCATCCACAGAGGCTGGTCTACTTGCAAGGTCTTGCAGCTTTTTCTTTCCTTGGCCACCAGCTTGGTTTAGTGGATGGGACTTATCCCACCATCTCCGTTCCAAGGCTTTCCAGAAGCCTCTTGCCCAAGTGCTTCATTAAGCTGGTTCCTCTACCTCTTAGGCCCAGGAACAAGCCCTTTGCAGCATCCAGATTTCACAACCTAGTAAAACACATCTTGGACCTCTTCCTTAAAAAGGAAAAACAAAACCAAAAAAACACAAGCTTGTAGGTATTATTTTCATATAGACAACAGCACAGCCATCCTCCAAACAGTCCAAAACCATAGGTTAGCTGACCCCAGAAATTGGATTGACCAATCAACTTTAAGCAATTGAGCCACAGGCTAACCAACCTGCATGGCTTCTTAGGAGGTCTCTAAAAGGCCAAGAATCAGCCATCACTCCTTTCCCATGGTTTATAACCTTTCTGCTGGTGCCAAAGAGGAATATAAAGAACTTCTGGCCAGTCTCTGCCCCCCTTGGAACTCACCATCGACTTAGGAAGACAAAAATATGTATACAGAGAAAAAAAATGCAAGATCAGATGCTTTAAAAAAAAAAAAAGGAAAAAACACCTGCAATAAGCAAAATCAGTTCAAACTCATAGGTCGAGATGAACTAAGGTCCTTGAGCATGAGCAAATTGGAGCTATTTAGCAAAAAGGTGTCCCAAGGGGGAGGTGACCAGGCTGTGGGCTAATGAATGGAGTGCAGGGTCCTATGCACTGCAAGTGTCAGAGCAGAAGAATGCAACAAAATCTGGACCTAGAATTAGTATATTAACTGAGAACAAGACTTCTAGCTTTAAGGGTAGGCCACTGAGAAAAACCATTAGGGACACTTGCAAAAGTACTTAGTGTTTGAAAATCTGACAGGGTGATAGCATGGTAAGAAAAAAAATTACTGCAGGAAAAAAATGTTTTTTAAAAAAAAAGTCTAATGAGTCCATGAGCCTAAAAAATACTTAAAAACAGCAAAGAAACCTCTTCCAGCACAGTAACAAACTAACAAAGGCAACATTTTAGAATCAACACAGAATAACTGATTGAGGCAAGAATCATCAATAGGCACTAAAAGTACTGAATGAAAGTTTGTTGACAGGCTTAAAGAATGCCCCATATCAGTTATCAACTACAAAGAAAAAATGGTAACCTTTGCAGCCACCACCTTAACCAAGGGATCAATCAATTTCATCAATAATGGAAAAAACTAGCATCATGTCCTTCTTATGTGATACACAGAAAGAACATTCTTGTGTATTAATTACTCTTACCTGATCTGAACATCTGGAAACAATTAGAAAAAAACAAATTGAGGGACATTCTACAAAATAATGGGCAATCATTCTTCCAAATTATCAATGTAATGAAAGACCGTAAGACAAGACAATGAGCCTTCTTTCCTAGGAAATAAATACATTTGTCAGGGTAGGGGACAAAGGGTCATGATTCTACAACTTACTTATATGAGTCAATAAAAATAATTATTATGTGTTTATGGAAGAGAAGACATAGTATTCTATATACTATATTCTATATACCACACATTAATAGTATATTCTATCATACATGTAGTAAATGTAGAAAATTCAGTAGATAATCTAGGTGAAAGATATACAAATACCACTCCTGCAGTATTTCTAAAGGTCTGAAAATTTCCAAAGTAAGTTTTTTAAAATGTGAGAACATATTTCTGAGAAGCATTTAATACAGGGTACTACACCCTATATTACTGAGCATCTATTCTGCAAAACACAACTGCAAACATCCTCAATGATTTGTAGAGGAATTAAGGGCATATTATTAAACATTATTTATGGGGCTCCCAGGTGGCTCATTTGATTAAGTGTCCAACTTCAGCTCAGGTCATGATCTCACAGTCCAGAGTTCAAGCCCCACATTGGGCTCTGTGCTGACAGCTCAGAGCCTCGAGCCTGCTTTGGATTCTGTGTCTCCCTCTCTCTCTGCCCTTCCCTTTTTCATGCTGTCTATCAAAAATAAACATTAAAAAATGGATAAATAAATATTATTTAAAAATAAGGAAATAGGGGCACCTCAGTGGATCAGTCGGTTAAGTGTCTGACTCTTGATTTCAGCTCAGGTCATGATCTCACGGTTCCTGGAACTGAGCCCCACATCAGGCTCTGCACTGACAGCAAGGAGCCTGCTTGGGATTCTCTCTCTGCCCCTCCCCCCACCTGTATTCTCTCTCTCAAATAAGCATAAAAAAAAAAACAAAAAGGAAAATAAAGGCTAAGTAGGTAATAAGTAGTTTGCCCTAAAGGCTTATTACCTCACTTATAGAGAAAAAAAGTCTTGGGAAAAAAGGAAAATACCCAGAGGTGTCAAATAAGGGTGTCAGCTCTAAGTGACAATATACTATTTTCTTGAGTTTTCAGATTTATACCATAAAAAATGAAATTTGTGCTCAAAAAATACCAGTTAAAACAAATTTTTAATAAAACAATTTTACAGTAAGGCACAAAAGAAATCGTCCTAGAATTTAAATAAACAGCCATTTCATGTTATTACTG